GGAAATTTCCCCATGTCACAAACTTAAATTTTTCTCTACCTTTACTGCTTCTCCTTTCTTTTCTCTAACTTAATGACTGACATCAGCATTCCATCATTTTCCAAGTCAAACTCAGCTTCATACTTGGTTCTGCCTTTTTCTTGATGCATCATATTAACAGGCCACATCCTCCTCTCCAATCTCCAAGCTTTAAGTGAGATCGTAAGCTCATCTGGATCCTGCACCTGCCTCTTAACTGAATTTTCCCAACAAGATAAAATCCAGCCAACTTAATTTGGCTTGCAGTGGCCTTACAGGTACAGCCCACCTCTCTCATCTCTTTCTTCAGCCTGCATCTAACTACTTGCCCAACTATTGGAGACTGTAGTTTATAAAAATGCCCTGCTCTTTAATCTCCCCATGTACCTGCTCACATCCAGAGTCTTCTGCCTAGGCTGTCTTTTTTCATCATCTTCTTCTTTTTTTGGTAACTCCTACTCATTCTAAAAAATGTCAGCTCAAAAACTTTCAAAAAGCAAGCTCAAAAAAGCTTCCATTTTCAACTCAAATCTGGGTTAGGTGACAATCCACTATGCTTTTGCAGTTACCTATGTCTAATTGTTATGAGGTTATTTATGTTTTACATGCTATTTTCTGTGTTTTTCTAACAACGTATGCACATATGTGTGTGTGATTTTCAAAATTCACTTGCCTAACCTGGAGACTCACCACACCTCTGTGAGGAGAGTCATGCGTCATTTGGAAAAGCCTTCTAGGAGACTGTCATCTGATTCTTTCCTGGCAAGAGGGATATCCTCCAAGAGAAGGGGCATTTCAGCTTAGCACCTGGCACAGAACTTGTCACATCGCAGGTGACTCTTACATATTGGATGATGATAGGGACATGGATGATGGGGAGAGAGGTCTGTTTTTAGACAATGAGTACACATTTAACATTTGTAAGTATGGACTCAGGATGATCAGAGTAATGCATTTGAAAATGACATGTAAATTAGATTGGAGGAGGGAGAGGGATTACATATATCATGCTGAATCCTGGCCAAATCTTACTTTTGCACAGCTACTGATAAAACTACCCAGAATGACCTTTAGATACCAACTGGAAGCATAGAAAGTTTTCATATGAGGCAGTTGGAAAAGGAACAAAGGGTCATCTCTAGGAGAGAAGGTGACCTCAGTCCCAGTGTCCAAGGACTCTTCTGCCTGGGAGGCCAGACTGGTTCTGGATATTGAGTCCAGACTGGAGCAGATGGGGGGTGTAAATTTGGGACAGGTGTTGCTAGACTCAATTTAGTCTGGAGGAGTATTGTCCACAGGAGGGCAACCATTCTAGAACAGATTCAATTTCTGTCTTACCTATTTTGAGAATGATCTAAGGCATGGTATCCACAACCAAACCCTGCTCAAGACTGAATATACCAATACATTCCACAATAGTCATTAAGTCAGAATTTCAGAAAAAGTGAAACAGTCTTTCAGGTTTAATTTATTTCTGCCAATTTGTTTTGTTTTATAACAGCAGGCATCTAGAAGGTGCTTGTCCTTCACTTTCTAATCTCCTTTTAGCCTTTGTCAGTAACCTTGTGGGCTCTCCACAGGTGGTTCCATTTGTAATCCATTTGACACAGCAAGATGAGAATAATTAATGAAGCTCCCTACAGCACTGCCAATGACCCAGAATCTAGGACAGGAGGGACATGACAGCGGGCTGGGAGCCAGGAGACCTGGATGATGCCTGGAGCCTGCCGGGAGCTGCAGTAGACGAGGGTGGCCTGCTCTTCTGTGCCCCTCTTTGTCTCCAGTCTTACACTGGAGAGAGAAAAGGCCTTGCCTAAGACAAAGGTCACATGACTAAGCATTAAAATTCCTGCCCTGGGCTACTCTCCTTTTTCTCCACTGAAAATCAACTTAAAGTAAGCTTTTATTAAATTTTAATGTGTAGGAAAGGCGAAAGATACGGTTAAATCTTTAAAGGCTGAAATCAACACAGAGCAGTTTCTGAAGGCGAGCTAAGACAGAGCTTGGAGAAGAGAGGAGTCTGTGCTGGCGGATTCTCACAGGGTCAGGGCTCAAGGTCGGAAACACCAGAACCAGAGGTGGCATCTCTCCCCCAGCCCTTTTTTCTGTTCCAAACTCATATAAATGAAATAAACAGAAAATGGAACTAAAAAGCCAGAAAGGGAACAGATGGCTTTCTGTGCTGAATTTCAACTAGTAAAAATCGTGTTTTGACAATAACATTCTGCAGAGAAGAACTAGAATAGTTTTTCAACAGTTCACCCCACACTGTTTTCTGCATCTATTACCCTAGACTGGAATAATAACCAAATCACCTGAAGAGGGGAGCCTCTGTGGTCTATCCTGGTCTACACAGTTCAGGAGAAGAATCTCGATGATTTGTTCCTTAAAATAGCCCATTTACATCTGTCAAAAAATGTTCCTGGAGGGACTCCCTAGGGTCCTGCAGTCCCATCTCCGGTCCTCTAGGTGCTTTAGTCTTCTTCACCGCTACTCAGCTCACAATGAGTACGCTGGCGTATGTGTTAAACATGTATAGAACAGAGATGGATCTGTACATGTTAAGGATGCCTTTTTTCCCCAAGGTGAAGAAACTTGAATTTCCAGCAATCCTTTATTTTCACTTTATTGTTATTATTATTATTAAAATCGTATTGCACCACTTCCTTCCGAATGATAAGTGCTTGTACTTCCTAGCTTTTTCCTTTTTAATTCTCCAAGTGCATGGGGGGTTTGAGAAAGGTAACATTTATCTCTTGATTATTCTCTTTTCACTTATATTTTCCCTGACAGTATCAAGGTCTTTCATTATTCATATATTTTAAAATGTATTTGAAATTTTAGTTATTTTTTGTTTATTCAAGTAATATGAATTTATACAAAATGTTTATATTATACATTTTAAGATTATAAAAATGACCTAAAAGTGATAAAATTACTGTTTTCCACTAAAGTGTAATTTGAAACCTATTGGATGAATCATTACTAGATGCAGAGGAAATATTTAACAAGTTCTGATCTAAATATATGTTTTATGTTATGTGTGAAATTCAGGCACCCTGGACAGGTTTCCTCCTGGGAAGTGGAATAGGAGGCTCAGCATCCCTGGGTAGTGCACTGAGGTACTGGACAATCTGCAGACACAATTTCCAAGTCTGAAGTCCCAGGAGCCAATGCTGTGACCTATAGGCTCAAGGTGAGCTTTACATGGACCAAGGATTCAGCCTCCTTAGGGTGGGTAGCAGCAGAGATTATTCTGTTTTACACTGAGCACATCTGGGCGAGCCAACTAATAAATAATATTCTTGATGACAGTAGCAACAGAAACACTTACAAGACAGCATCTGTCAGGCATTTGTTCTATGTAAGGTTGGTAGTAGGCATATGAACATTGCTTCATTTAATCCTAGCAACAACCCTCTAAAGTCCTTGTCTCCCTTTCAGGAATGAGGAAGCTGACATTTCTAGAAGTTAAACCTTTGCTCCAGAGTGTGAAGTTGGAGAGAGGCTGAGCCAGTGTTTGGACCAAGGCTAACCTTAGTTCAAGCCTGTGGATCTTAAATACCATTCTTTTTTCTAGTAACAATCTTCTGTGCTGTGATTGGAGCAATTCCTCATTGCTACATTCTTTGAACACTACAGAGCACCACATACATGCTTCAAGCCAGTTGGCCTTGGAGGCCACGCCCTTCTGAAGTGCACGGATCTGCCTGATGTGCTATATCCCCTGCCTCTTTTTCTGACCCCTGCCCCATGCAGTTCAAGCCACGCCGCTCCTCAGCTTCCTTGCCTGGTGTTCTCACTTCCACCTCTCCACCTTCTGCTGAGCTCTTCCCTGAGCCAAGAGTCTTTTCAGCTCTGCTGCCAAGTTCTCCGCCTCCCCTCCTCCTCACTCCCAGGCAAGCAGCACCCTGTCCTGCTTTGCTCCAGAGCAATGAGGGGAGTTTCTTTCTTGCTTCTAAAAAGCCTTTCCTGACTTTCTATGTGCCACTTTCTGAAGCTGATGCTTTCTCATGGCTACTCTAGCTACACAGGCTTAGAGAAAGTGCTTAGTGTTTGTTTTTTTTTTTTTTTTTTTTTTTTTTTTTTGTATCCATTCTTAGTCTGGAGGCTGTAAGGTTAGGTGCAGATTTAGTGGACATTTATTGTTTGTGCCAGCCATTATTTCACTATGTCTCAGGCTCAAGATATTGTGGATGTGATAGTGGACAGCAGAGAGATGGCCTTCCTTCATTCTGCTGCAAATCCCATTTCTGGTAGGATTGGTACTCCTAGGCTAGCTCTGCAGATGGGCTGTCTGAATTAATTCTTAGCTTTGCTATTTATAGTCTGCGTGATTTTGGCTAAGTTAATAAACACCTCTGTCTCAGTTTCCTGTAAACTGGGGAACAGGGGTAGCATTTCCTTCAAAGTTGTTATTAGAATTAAATAAAGGAACTGAGGATACAGTTTAATGGTAAAGCACTTGCTAGCATGTGTCCAGTCCTGGGTTTCCTAGTACCACAAAACAAAACAAAAGAATTCAGTTAATGCAGTACTGGCACTCTGCAGGTTCTCAATATATGTTAATTATTACTATTACTTTTTAGATCATTTCACATGTGGATGGCAGTGTTCCTCCTCTGGAAGTATCCCTAAGTTCCTCTGCTGGACTGTGAAGCTCTTAAGGGCACGGGCGGAATCTTCAGTCCTTCTGTGTGACCACACCTGATGTAGTGCTTTCCACAGCATGTGACAGGCCCCAGTCTGGGGATGGGGTGGGGACACAGATCTCTCCAGGTCAAAGTGTTTCTTGGCCCCCTTCTGAGCACCAGAGAGACACAGGTCTCATTATTACATATTTTCAAAGAGAGACACATGTATGCTCAATGCCTTTTACTGATATAAAATGGAAAACATTGCTTTAATTTCTCCAGAAAGAAGCCCCATGTTTATCATGTTAAAAACCATTCCCTGCTTCAAAGAGAAATGACCAGACTCACCTTGATTTTTCAACGGTAAAGGCATAGTTTCCCTGAGTTTGCTTAAAAGGTTTTTCATTTCACGCATGTCTCTGTAAAATTGATTGAAAGAAAGAATGATCAGCTGTGAGTTCTCAAAATGAAATCTCCCAGTCTGGGCTATGAGACAACTGAAGGGCAGGATGAGACTCTGTGCCTAATTGTACTAGCTCCAGCTTCCACTGGGCAAATATTGAATTTATTTTGCTTTTATGAGAAAGAAGTCTGAGCTGGGTTGGCTCTGGAAGGAATGAGAGAGACTCTGGCAAACATTTCTGCCAGGGCCTTTTCCTGCAGGAGGCTCCTCCTGACCCCTGGCCAGACCTGGCTGCGATGCAAGAAAAGCCTTTATTAGTGAGGATGGTATTTTGGGTTTACAGGGGAGAGCCTGAAAATGAAAGACCGGAGCAATGGGCGCTGGAGAAAGTGAGGTTGGGAGTGGTGCCACAAGGCTGCTGTCAGAGGCCCTAGTGGCTGTGCAGATCCCCTACTTGTGCCTGCTTGGGTTTAAGTCTCTCCTTATAACTGGAATTCAGCAAAACAAATATGTTAAATATTTGTGAGCACCAGTGCTTAGCAAATTGAATGATGTGAAAGTGATAGGCTCAAAAAAAAAAAAAAAAAAAAAAAGAAAGTGATAGGCTCCAAGCCTCCAGAAAACAGCCTCCCCTGAGGAGAGAGAGAGGAGGGAGAGGCAGAGTGAGGAAGGGGGGGGGGAGAGCAGGAGGGAGAAAGAGAAAGAGAGGGAAAGCTAGAAGAGGAGGCAGAGGGAGATGGGGAGAGAGTAAGAGCGCGAGGGAGAGGAAGAGGGAGAAGAAGACCCTTGGGGACCTGATCTGTCTTTCCCAGCTTTCTGGTGCCTCAGCCTGATGCAGGCAATACCATAACACTGCACGTTTCTAACATTCTCCTTTATTCCTCAGGGCAAATGGCCCCTAAAATCCAGGACGGTGGAGCAGGCAGCTAGCTGTCTCAGAGGCTTCTAGATCAGTACAGGGGGAGATCTGCCTTTCCAGCCTGGGCAACAGTGATTTCCATACACATTCAGGTGATCATCAATGAAGATAATGAAGATATAAGACATAGTGATAGATTTCTTCTAAAAAAACAAAAATAGAATAGAATAGAATAGAATTGAAAAAAAATTGGTACAAAACCCAGGTACATCTTTAATCTGCTCCAGAATGGACAAGCATTACCAGGCCCCATGGTTTAGGAAACTTTTGAGGGGAAAAATTTTGAAGTTGAAAAATTTCTACCCATTCATTTATTTTTCTTTCTGGCATTTGAAGAAAGAGAGGTGGCATTTAATTTTAAATATGAAATCTTTCAGTCCATTTTATGAAGCACAGCTGTTTGTTGATCACAGTTCCAGGGCTACTGTTTTTAGGGAGGTCAAAACCCCTCCTCAGGGGAATGGGATAAGATGTAAAATGGAGCTCAGGTGCAGGAATCGGTGATTGGGAAAGAACCTGGCTGGTGTAGAAGTGCCGCCATGAAAACAGTCGGAATACTGCCTAGGTCAGAGATGGGCTGGAGAGGGAAGCAGTCCAGCCCACCCCCATGCCATCCCACAAAGTACACAGCGTACTTTTGGTTTTTATATGAGATCTGTAGGGAAGCTAGAAAAGGATCAGAAATGCACTAGTGGGAGCGTGGCAGTCTTCCCGGAGAGCAGCAATTGTCAGCTGAAGAATTGCCTATGCCCCAGTCCATCTGGAGAGACTCAGACTCAGTTGGCTTTTGATGGGGCCCAGACAACATAGTCTTCATAGTGAGATAAATGCAGAACTGGGTTTGAGACTCCCTGATTTCAGGGAAGAGAGCCAGGGGGAATCAAGGAAGCTGGATTCCAGGTGTTCGGTGCCGGCTTCACCCAACCTTTTCCACGTCTTTGGCTAGAATCTGGACTTTCAGGCTGACCAGAAACACTGCTGCCTCTGAGGGCTGTCCTACTCTATGCTTTCTGCATCCATATCTCACTTTTTAAAAGTATATGAGTCATGGCTATTCCTCCTTGTGCAAGGTGACTGAAAATGAAGGTGGCTTACTGATGAATTGTGCCATGATCCTGGCATTCTGGCAGACAGGTCTCCCCTCCCCTACCTGGAGTTTTCTATTTTATAAACTGAGATAAACCACTCCTTTATAATTTGCCCAGAATCCTATCAAATGAAGCCAAACAGCTTTATTATTGGAATTCTTGGATATTCAAGCTTATAAAATTCAAGTTTTATTAATAGCACATAATTACCACATGCTCCAATTTTCTATAAACAAAGAAATTCAGTAATTAGCTTTAGAATTACATTACAATCTGAAAGTAGAACCACAATGGTTATAAGTGTCATTGTGTTATATTTCTAAAAATAAAGAATAAGATGTTCATTATTTTGTCAATGACTCAATCCCTCACACAAATAACATGGTAGAATTACCCAGTATTCATTCAGCTGCTTGGACCAGCTCTGGGGACATAGCAAAGGGCACAGATATCAGATGAAGGCCTCAGCTTCTTACCTTACAGAAAGGCATCTTTAGTGCCTAGATGGAGCATAGCACTGGTTAGTAATTACTATTGTCTTCTTTTCCCAAATGAAATAGGATCACCACAGAATATCTTCTTCCCCGGAAGGAAGCTCCCGGTCTGGGAGTGGGCTTACTGATGCTACGGTAATACAATGACTCCCTCTGGCCCCTAAGGGGCATCAGCTACATTCTGGGAGAGAGAAGGAAGCAACTCCTTGAGAAGCCCTCTGCGGAACCAACCATGGAGTGCTGAGCCCTCACCAGGCAGCAAGGCAAAATATTCCCCATACCTGAAATCCAAGAGTCTACTAGAAGCATCTTTATAGGATTTTAGATTCTTTGCCCTTAAGCAAATGGCATTTTGGGGAGCAGCCCAAGGGAGGGGCTGTGTTTGTTCATAGCTCCTTTCTCCCTTTCAAGGAAATATGCTTTTCGTTTTCCATGGAGTCTCAGTGTGCTGCAGGGGGAAGAGCTGAGTGTAGGACTCTGTGTCTGTGGTAGGACCGATGCTACTTTCTCAAATCTCAGTCTTTATCTGCAGGTTAGGCACTTTCCAGGATCTTCCAACCCCGTGTTTTCTCTGCAGACCAAGGAGAGCTCTGTTTCTTCTCCCCTTGAAATAGAGAACCCTCGACCCTCTCTGGCCCTAAGAACGTTCCCTGGAGGAGGACTCTGCAAGTGGTTTCCAGGTTGCTTCCCACTTACCTTTCAGTGTTCTCGATGTCTGTGGAAACCTGCCAGGAGTGTTGCTGGCTGTCACTGGGGGATGACAAGGAGTCCTCTAGGACAGGAGTTTCAGCACTCTCCTCAGTTTTGCAGTCCAAACTCTTTGTTCCCCCACTGGCTTCCTTTCCTAAGGGACAAAGTGTGTTGGGAAAGAGAAGGGGATAAGAAATCTCAAATGAAAGTTCTTTATCAGGATGTTGCTGCAAGAGGTAGATGTACTTTGAATTAAATGCTGTATTAGTAACTAATAGCTTTCTGCGTGATTAAAAATGTTCATGGTCTCTGTGTGTGTGTGTGTGTGTGTGTGTGTGCGCGCGCGCGCGCGCGCGCGAGCGCGCATGTCTGTAGCATGTTTCTGCAACATTCTGGGAAACATTGTTGAGATCAATGCAACTTAACGTTAGAGGTGAAATTAAAGCCCCTGATTCTGGTGAAGGATTGATGCCTCGGAACCTATTCTGAATTAGATAAGTTTGCTTTAGAGGGGCGATAAAGTCTTGCTGTTTTTAGTCTCACAGGCAGAGGCAGGTGAGAAGGACCTGGAGCAGGTAATACTCTGCAGGAAGCATAGGAGACCCTGCTGTTCTCTCTGATTCTAGATGCTGGCTCTCCTAGCCTGCAACAGAGATCACGGACCCTTTCAATTCCTCAACTCTGCAGCCTGCTTTAGGGCATTCTTCTGTAAGGCTGTTTGATCCAGTTTTCTCATGTTGAGACTCTGAAACACCATCCACTAAAGTGCTATGGGCTTTGTACTATGTAGATGTTTATAGCAATGTCAGACCAACCCACTAAGACTTGTACTTTTTAAAACAGGACTTTCTAGAAATGAGTCTTCAAATTAGTTTAGTCATAATTTTGTATGAAATGACATGGGAGATTGTAGTACACGGTCTAGGTTTACTCTAGTAATGTTTTTTGCACTGTTGTAAAAATAACGTAGCTGGGAATGACCTATGAGTTTGGACAACTGGGCTTTAAACATGGTTTTATCATTGGTTCATTCATTTACACATTACTATAATTAAATTTATTTATTATTTTTTAATGTAAATTTATATATAAATATTTCTTGAGTGTCAGCTAAATGCTAAACACTGGGCTTGATGCTAGAAATAATACAGATGAGAGAAAGACTTGGTCTCTGTCTCACAAAACATAAACGGTTAGAGTTAGACAACAAAAAACCATACAAATAATTGCAAGCTGTTTCACAACATAATGTAGCCCAGGAGGGAAAAAAAGGTAGCTAACGTGTGTCTTTTAGTGTTGCATCTAGTTTCATTTTTATTATGTGGCTATAACTCTGGACTAGTTAAGAGATTGTTACAGCTCATATCATTGAAGATAATTATATTCATTCCTTCTCAGTCTCCCTAATCATGCTGGGATTTTTTTCCCCTCTTTTTGCCTTAAAAAACTTAAACTTGAAAAGAGGATTGTTGTTCTTGATAAAATCTAGCAGGAAGCTTTCCTCTTGGATTCTGATTCAAAAAGAATTAGCAAAAATTTTGTTCTTTAGTTCCCAACCTATATGGCAGCCACACAAAAAGAGACAATTAAGTGATAATTGTGTACCTTTCATCACACTGCAGTGTACCCACAAGTTTACTGATGAGAAAGTTTGATCCTTTGCTGTGCACGTTTGTGTACATTGATACTAGGAGATGGAACTTGCCTGAGGAACTGTTTTTCCAATTTTATGGTAGCTGTTGGGCAGAAATTAATTAAGCACATAATTTAGCACATTACCATTTCACAGTTGGAAGGTAATGATCTATTACAAACATTTGCATTTTGCCTCTTGGTAGCATGCAGCAAACGCAGTCAGACCATTTACCATCCCTTCTGGGCATGTAAGCTTGGGCAGGGGTCGTGGAGGTCTGGGAGAGGGACAAGAGGGGGAATCTGCCAGAATAACCCTCTGCTTTTTCAAATTCCGGAGAAGAGAACATCCTGAAAGTACATGTGGAGCATATCTATGACTAATTATTTCTGTGGAAGTCTGTGGAATGTAGAACTTAATCTTCACGTGATTGAAAATGCATCTCCCTTTTTTTTTCATCTTTGTGCTTACACTCAAATTCTATTGGCTAGGTGTATCAATTTATATTCAAACTAACCTTCTCTAAGAACCGGATGACTGTTCCCTTATCTTTTATTTATACTATATATAGTCTGTTTATGACTCTCTGACAAAATTTCAAAATGGAATCTTTACACTTTTGAGTTTAAATGTGAATCCTTGATATGTTTAGGAAAAGAGTTCATTTTTTATTAAATTTTCTAGAAATTCCAATTTACTTTTTCCAACTTTTTATTTTGAAAAAATTATTACATTTTGCATATAAAATATGTATGTTTTGTAGTGAATCATTTAAGAGTAAGTTGCAGATATTAATGAAATTTAATCCTAAATACTTCAGTATTCATCTTGTAAAGAACAAGGATATATAAACCTAAAACAACTGTCACAACAATTTTTAAACTTTGATTAAATATAATTGAACATAATTTGGTATAAAAACTATTAATTTAACTTATATATTCAAATTTTCCAGTTTTTCCAATAACTTACTTTCTAACTTCTTTTCCTTTAATTTAGGGACTAGATTAAGAACTATGTGTAATGTATAATTTCATATTTATTTTCTTTTAATCTAGAAACCATCTTTGCCTTCTTTGTCATGAATAATTTTGAGTGAATAGTTCAGGCCAATTATTTTATAGAATTTTAAAATTTAGACTTATTCAATTGTTTCTGCATGTTCAGAATAAACACTTTTGTCAAGAATAATATAGAAGAGTGGGCCCATAGTGTATCACATTTGAAAGCACATAAATCAGTTTGTCCCACTATTAATGATGTCAGTTTGCTTAAGGTGGTTTTTACCACCTTTTGATATGGAAGATGTACTCTGTCCCTTTTGTAATTATGAATAATTGACTCAGTGACTCACCACATTTAAGTTTGATAAAAACTTTTTCTCATTATCTACTCCTTCTTTCAATTTTCTCTATTAGCATTTCTGATTCAAATTTGAATCTGTGGCTCTATCTTGCACATTTCTTAACCCTCCTCCATGGCTAGTATTTTTCATTTGGACTGAATTCAGAGAGAATGCTGAACTTGGTCTTGAAATTCACCATTTAGGCTTTCAGTATTTCTTTCTGGTAATTTTTAAGAATTATAAAAGGTCTGAGATTTTACCCTATGAAAATTAGCCTGCAACAACTTCATGAGTGGTGGAAGATGGCGTGATAGTCCTGGGTCAGAGACGAAAACAGCTTGTTACTCCCGTGGTCGCAGTAGCCAGTACAGCAGTACTTGCACTGGTTTCTAGAGTCCTAGTTCCGAGAGGATGATGCAAAAGGGGCAGACAATGCCTGCATACACAGTAGACCGTGACAGAAGAACTTCTGGCCTAGAGTTCCAGAGTCTTTTATTAGCAGGTCTGCTCGCTTCTCCAGAAGAGATGTTTTCATTATAATCACAGTTAACATATGCCTTGCTCTAGAGGGAGACAGTCTCTATTTTCCAAGGCATTTGCTAAATAAACATACTTGAAAAGATAGTGTAAAACAAAGGGCAATCAATGCCTTACTTCGTAAAATGAAAAATGTAACAGACCAATGGAAGATTGTTTCCCAGTACTAATTAATAATTATTGTTTTATGGATTTAACAGACTCATAGATATCTTTGCATGTATTGATACATGTATTAAAATTTTATATCATCTTAACATTCATTCTTCTGGTTGTAGTTGTTGAATTTGTTGTCACCAATTTATAGTGCTGTATTTAAAACAAAAAACAAACAAAATAAAACAAAACAAAAAACCCCCTTGTAATTCCTCACCATTTACTCAGCTATGTTTTTCAAGATATTTGTATTTATTGTTATTCTAATAACATTGTCTTTCTAGTAATTTTCAAGAAGAACCAGAGTACATGACTGGAAAATAATGACCAAAACCTTTAACCTCAGTGACAAAGTTTCTCATCTCGTGTTAAGCTTCCTGAACACCCTGCCTGTTGTTTAAGGCCCAGTTCTATCCTGAGTTCCTAAGTTAGAATTCTTACTCCAGAAAGATGTACTGAGCAATTTGACTTGACAAAACACACTCGTGTATTGAGCTCACTTTCTTTTTTGTTGTTGTTGTTGCTATTCTTGTGTTCACCAAATTATTTCACACTCTATTCTGCTTTGCTGCCCAGGACCCACCTTCATAACAGGTATTCTCCTGGAGCAAGCACTGACAGTCTCTGTTGCACAGTGTAGGGCAACTTAGCTTTTCCTAAGTGCAGTTTCAAACATTAATTTTCCTGACAACCATTCCAGAAGTTTCTCCTATGTATTTGCTGTCTGAATTTAAACCTGGAACTGGTTTCAGTACTGCAGAAATTTTTTCCACTAGAATTTTTTCTTGTGTTTCTTATTTTCTATAGATTCTTCTGTTCATTTGTTTTTACGAAACAAATCCTAATTACTTCTTAGCTTTGAGAAACTTTTTAAATTTTTTGGTTTGTTCAAGTCACCTTTCTTTGTTTTCACCTTCTATTTCCTTTTTTTCCTCCAGTTGGAAAGGATCACGTGCCCTTCCAGACTGACCTCTAAATATCTTTCTTCAAGATCCCATTATGCTTTCTGGCCATGGATAGAGGCCAAAACCTCCCTCCCTCTAACTGTTGAGTAGAGGTAGAGAATAGAAAGAGTAATGTCATTCATTTCCTCAGCTCTAGAACTGGAATATGACCTGAGTGAATAATGAATGTTATTATCGTAATCCAATGGGATTTGGTATTATCTTACACAGTAGTTGCCTTACTCAGAAAATTATAAGAACTGATATGGATTTATTCTTTTCATTATATGTTTTTCTCTATTTCTCTTATTTCCTATTAAAAAATTAATAGGAAGGGAAATGTATATGAGCTAAATCCAAAATCTCTGGGTAAGCCTTTTCCTTTAATTACATTCACTCTCTTGATAATACATATACTGTGAAAGCAATTTATCCATTTATTTAGTAATCATTAATTCAACTTGGCCTCAGGCTCTGTGCTGGAACCTGGGGATACAATGATGAACACATTCAAGGTGAGCAAAGTCTACAAAAAACAA